GATGGGGTGCTGGAGAGTGGCTTGGGGGGCTGGGGCGCATGGTGTGTGAAGTGGCCTGGGGGCTGGCTCTGTGGATAGGCAAAACGAGGCCGCCACGAGAAGCGCTGATCCGAGCCCCATCCCGCAAAAACAGAAAAGGAAAAAAATGGAAAAGAGGAGGAGGAGGAGAGGAAGAGGCAGCAGCTGTGTGCGTGAGAGGATGCATAAACACACAGGGTAGCCAGCAATTTATTTCTGGCCCCGTCTCTTTTTAAAAATATTTTTTCCTAGCCCTGAGGTGCAAACCAAGAAACCCGGACTATTCCCAGACTGCTCCTTGAAGCCAAAGCGAAGCGCAGTTTGATCGGATGAAAGTGCAGAGGCACCTGTGCCAGTCCAGGTTTCTCTGCTGAAACCAAGTGGGAAAAAACCAAAGCAAAAAACACGCAGTTTTGACATTTTGATGTTGCTGGTTTGCAAGAGCATCTCCCTTCCTGAACATTTTTTCAAAGGGGCTCTTTCTTTCTTGTTTTTGCTGCCCTCCGTCAGTTCAGCAAATCCTTGTATGGTGGGCATGTCGTGAGCGGAGCTGGCTGGTGCTGGGGGTCAGACTAGATGGCCCAGGAGACTCCTTCTGACTCGCTCTGTTTCTATGTTTCTATGTTTATCCTAAGAGCAAAGGAGGACTGGGGACAATCTTCTTACTCCAGATGCACCTGGTTTCTTCCTGAAGGACTGAGGGATCTCCCCTTCTCTCCTTCCTCTTCCTTGTCCTTGCATCTTGCATTCCCGGGGTAGCAGGCTATTTCTCTATCAGGGCACGTAACCCTTGTCTCTGTCAGGATCCACAGGGCTCTTATCCGGACTCCCGCAGGCTCAGGCCTGGTTTGCTTATTCCTCATGTGCCAATGGAGAGCACATTCTGGGAAGCACTGTTCAAAGCCACACCTTTCTTTTCCTCTGCGGCTACCGTGCTTGCAGTCGGAGGCCTGCCTTGTATTCCAAACTCCAGCGGACAGCTCAGTCCAAAAGTTGGAGAGAAGCTCCTAGCTAGTGATAGCTCAGACGCTTGGAGAGCCCTCAGGTCACTCACTGCAGATCCTTCCTCAGGGAGTCCTCTTCCTCTGTGTCTCCAGCTGCTTCCATGCCTCCTCCTCCTCTTCTTCCTCCTCCCCCTCATTGCAGCCACTGCTCACTTGGTTGGCTGGCACGGAGCCAGTCAGCAAACAGGAGGGGCATCAGCTGCTCCTCCTTCTCTCTTTACCTGGACCAGGGCACATGGCAGGTGAACGGGCAGGTTGCCACACTGCGGAGGCCGAGCATCTGCAGGGTCTTTTCCCCGTGGGCCCCTGCTGGGCCTTGTTTGTGCCCAACCATGCCTACCCTTCATGCTGGTCTCATTTCCAGCTATCCATCATTCATATTCATATTCCAGTCCATCATGCATTGGGAACCTTTTTGGTGAAACATCCACCAGTTTGCATGGGGCATTTGGAAGGTGGAGACCTAATTAACAAGCAGGGAGGCAGAGCAGTTGTACAGAATTGCAGAAAGGGTATTATTTTGGCCTAGATGAGATAAAAGTGCAAGGTAAAGACGCATTTCAAACATTAGATCTATACACAGTAGGCACGCTGAAACGAGTGGGAGTTGGAGGAACTGTTACCAATGGGTTATAAACTTGTGCCATTCTTTTCCATGGGTCTACTTCAAGTAGGACTAGTACTGGCTGCTACCCATTCTGTTGAATCTGCATTAGAGGGATTTGAGAGAGAGAGAGGGAGGGAGGGAGGGAGGGAGAGAGAGTCACATGTATTATTTTGTGCCTAAAATGGCATATCTCCATTCTAAAAGAAGCCCGGAGCTGTTGATGCTGCTAACACAACAATGAAAGCGTGTAAAACAGCAGAACGTGTTGCACTCCACCATTAAGCTCGATCATAAAGGGAGTGTGAACGCAACACTTTGCCTGAAAGTGCCTGTCGGAACAAGCATGTTCGTACTTGACTCCTAAACATTTCCAGACCAGACTCTCTGCAGAGGGAACCTTCGTCTCTGCCTTGTTTGCCCTGAATTCTACCTGTGTGGATTTTATCTCAAGCTACGGATGGAAAACAAAACACGGCCTTATCCATGAAGGTCTTTGCAAGCATAGCATATGTTGCGACTTGTGTGTGTTCTCTGTGTTGCGGGCGCCACAGTGCGGGGTTACTTTCGAGGCTGTAAAAGCCACTTGCCAGTGAAAACGTGGACTCGCTGGTCCGACGAAAGGTATTTGAGGTTTCCCCGTGGCCTGAAACAGCGCCCATTCCAGTTTACGAACCGCCCCCCCCAGAGGCCGTTCAGGTTTGGGTTTGTGTGTACTGACCACCCTGGACATGGCTTATTGTAACTAGAGGAGGACGATCCTTGGTTTGCCTACCAGGGGTGTTCCTGGCGAACAATCCATTGCTTCACCCTAGTGCAGGTTCCGCACAGCCCTCGATTCAGCGGCGACATACGGTCAACCCATATTCTGGGCTGCTTTTAGCTACAAACCAGGACAATGGGGTACATGGGATTGACTTGACTGGGGTGCCAGATGAGAAATGGACAGATCGGGGGGAGGGAGCGGTTGAAGTGAGCCTGGACTGGCCCCCAGGATGCCTCGGGACAGTTCAGGCCAGTATTATCATGGCGTAACTTTTAATGGGTTTTGTTCTGGGACAAGAACTGATAATGAGCTTCCACCAAGTGGAAAGAAGCAAATAGCCTTTGCATAGGATTTCCTCTATGGGGCTGCAGTTCCACAGGGCGGGGGGAAGGGGTTGTGTTTGCTCTCCTTCACCCTTACTTTCCATGCTTTGGGTGGGTCGTATTTGCGAAGGGTGACTAGCTGGGCTTGCCCTGTTCTTTGCAGCCCTGTCTGATCATGCTGTCAAACGTGGGGGGAACAGAAAGAACCAGCAAGTGCCCCCCCATCCCACGTTCTGCTCCTTGCAAGTGCAATTTCAGGAGAATGCCCCACAGTGGCAACCGTCTGTAAGGTTTCTTATCGGTCTGCATGCAAAGAAATGCCCACGGCAGCAGTTTCTTGCTCCGGCAGCAGTTTCTTCCTCCGTCTCTGCAGAAAGCTTTGTTGAGGAAGAGAAAGGGCCGGGCAGTCGCCTGTCTGACGGCGTTGTGTGTTGGACGCGCCATCTAGTTCAAGGCTGGTGGAAAGATAAAGAGCCCTTAAGAGTGGAGAATCAGGGCACTGAACGTGCCTGGCAACACTTAGCCCTGAGCAGCGAGATGAGCAGGGGCTCGGCCGGCCCCGCTATGGTGCAATGGATTGGCTAGTTAAGTGAAAGGATTTCTGCTTCAGTGCACATCCACACAGGCTGCGCCGACCTAACGCAGTAGGTGTGGTGCTTGTGGATGTGTCTCCTCTCACTCTGGAGAGGTTTTCCTTCCTCTTTGTAATGTGTGAGTGCCCACCCTGGTAGGTGAATGTGGTAACAAAGCCGGCCAGCCAGCCAGCCGCCCTTCTATTTGCAAAACTCTAAAGGTGCCGTTTTCTACCCAATGAACCTGTAAGAAGAGATAAATCTCCTGCCACTTTCCAGTTTTTGGCTCATGAATGCAGAGTCCTTGGGATGATTCAAGGGCTATGGAATGAGTGATTCTCTGGTACCCTCTATGGCAGGTGCGGCCCGGAAAAGCAGGGCCTTTTCAGTGATGGTGCCTTCACGTGGGGTTATTTCAAGCCTCTAATGAAGGAACTCACTCATGTTTTTGTTTCTGCTTCCACCATGTTGTGTGTACTGTGGTTTTAAAAATGCATGTAAAATTCTTCCAACAAAGCATCGCACGACGTCTCCAAATGGTATAGGAAGTAAGAACAGCTAAGCATCTAGTAAGATGCAGGTTTATGGCAAATGGATAACGTCTCACTTGCAGTTCGAAACAGGGCGTTTCTTACTGATAAAAACAGTCCGTGGTCTCCAGGCCCGAATTCCAACCTGGTGTTAAGTGACTGATGTTCGAAGTGCTGTTAAACTGACCGAAACGTCTCCCTCCATCCAGCTCTTCTCAAACTACTGTGCTTTGTTTGGTCGGGAACTTCCAGTCCTTTTTAAATGTAAGCTTTCTTCAGCCTGTGCCCTTCAGATTGCTATGCTGTAATTCTAAGCAGCACCCAGCCAGCCTTGTTGAGCAGGGGCTGCTGGGAGTTGTAGTCCAACGCAGTCAAAGAAGGCCCTTCAAGTTGTCCTCCGTCAGTATAAAAACGGCTCCAGACATTTCTCAGTCGGAGGTGTGTGGCATGTTTTAGATTATCCAGTGCTTTGCTTTTGGGGTTGTAATCTGCCTAGCAGGTCGTAAAGACGGAGAAGAGGGATGTAATGTTTTTATGTAAAACATATAATTCCAAGGATGGTTTGCTGGGGAAATGTTTCCTGTTTCTAGAATATGCTGACTTCAGAATGGCCATACGTAAAACTCTTGCCGAACCTGAAGCTGTTCTGCAAAGCTCCTTTCAGCCGAGGATCAGATTCGCTGCAGGGAAGCTCTGGGGGACCACTTTCTGGGGGGGGTGGAGCCAAAAGCCAAAGGGGCGGGGCCTCAAAGCTAAAAATTCCAGCGTATTTTCATTGAGAGCTCTTACTGCTAGCAACTAAGCTTCAGGAGAGGTGTTTCAAGCCTTTAGAATGGGCGAAGATGGCACAGTACCTGGGAACTCACCAAATAGGCAGTGGGGGGGTGAGGAAAGGGGTGTGGCCAAGAAAAAGGGGTGTGGCTTTCGGGGAGGGGTATGGCCCCTATGTTTGAAGTTCTGCACCTGAGCTCCTTTTTGTTAATTATTGGGATTTCTGGTGGCTTTCAGGATTGGGTACAGAGGTGAAATTTTGGCTGTGTTTGAATAGCTGGCCATTGGACTATTGGTTAATGTATTGCTTTTTTGTAATTAAAATCAGATAAATTTAATTTCCGAACCCAGTGCAAATAATAACAAATACAGTACCCTGAAGGTTTGGCTTTTTTCCCCACTTCCCTTTTAGGATATGATGATGCTTCGGAGACAAACTTGATATCACACAGTGTTCGCTCTGCCAAACACGTGCAAGAAAATCGCCCGAGACCCATTCGTAGGAAAAGGAGTGTTGGTAAGGAATGGGGAGATGAAATGTATTTTTCAAAATGCCACGAGCCTTGGGTGATTGATGGAAAGCTTTTGTGGCTGGTCCCAGGGGGAGAAAAGGGTCATTGTTTAAAAATAAAGGGCGGGAGGAGGGGGGAAAGACCTTTTAAACCCGAAGGGGCTGGCAGGGGGAACACTCACATTCACCCCCCCCCCATGACTTCTTATTTTCTGCTCCTTGTTGCACCAGCCCAGCCATCATCCAGAAGGGTGACACATGTAGAAAATCCTTGACATTCACTTTTGGTGTCGCGGCACGTTCTCTGCCAAGCGCTAGTGAAGTGGTGCCGGGCGGATTCAGTCCGGGCAGTCTCAGCGTGTCAGTGTTGATGTGGGTGATAAAGACACCCTCCAGAGAATGCTGAGCATCCCGTGAGAGCAAATGGGTTAAACAGTTGCCGGCCTCTGTGATCCTAGAGGCGCCCAACCATGGAAAGAAGCTGCCCGTTGTCCCTCTGCGTGAGTCGTCGGTAGCCTTCCCGCCAGTCAGATTCGAGGGGATGAACCTTTGCAGCAGGCCTGGCCCTGAGCGAGAGGACTGCCTCAGCCACCAGATGTGGGCAGACACAGTCAAGGTCTTGGGGTGTGCCAGGGGACCTGCCACGTCCCCCTGCACCCAGGTGGTCTGCTGCCTTCCAGCAGCATCCCCTTGTGTCGTGGGCCACCCCAATCTGCTCTGTACACGGCATCCATGAGGGCACCATCGTGCTCTTCACCAGCAGTCCCGAGCTGACCCTACTCTGCATCTCTCTGTCAACCGTGATCGCATCACAGTCCTTCCCAACATGCTGCCCTTCCAAGAGTGTGTGCGTTGCATCACTGCACGATTCACCACGTTGGGCTTGCTCCCTGTTCAAGCAGGGCGTAATCAGCAACACGAGTGGCAGCGGGAACATTTGCCGGGCTGGGGATAGCCTGCGAAGAACGCCTGTTGCCTTCCCTGGGGCCTCCCCTTGGCACCGCCAGAGCCAGTGAGAGTCCCGGGGAGAGAACGGTATGCAGTGCTGTGCCACCGACAGGCAGGGCCCTTGAGATCTGGGCACCATCAGCTGAGAGAGCTGCCGCAGTGGGGAGAGGAGTCACGAGAGCCCCCGTGCTTCTCAGCGTGTGTGCAAAGCAAGGTGCGGTCACAGTGTTCAATGCACCAGCCTGACACAAGCATAGCGAGGCCCTATGAGTGTAGTCGATACAAAAGTGTTGTAAACAGAAAATGTAGGAGGTGGTCTTAGAATGGTGATCTGGGCAGAAACCGGTCGTGTGGGTTTGGCTGGGCAGTTCTTACTTCTGAATAATATTCTTAGAAGATGAAGACGTGGAAGGAAGACGCGTCTGGGGCACGGAGAGCAAGCTGTGTGCCCGGCTTTTCCGTCAAGGCTCATGCTGGCTTGGTGACTGAGTAATCAGTAATTCCAGGAAGGCCCTGAAAAGCTGTGCATTTAAAAGAGAGTTCTTTCTGTTTTCAGGGGAAAAAGTTCACTTGGTTACAGCTTTTGGTACAAAAAGCTGTAAAGTAAATAGACAGGATGGGGCATTCTTGTGGAACAGCAATTCCCAAGAGGCTTAACTGAGGACTTGCTTTGACTGCACAGGAATGAGTGAGTGCTTGCCACTTTCCCTTTCACTCAACAGCCCAGGGACTTCCCACACTGTTCGAATCCAGGAACTCTGGGTTGTTTAGAGGTTAAACAACCTGGAGTTAACCCAACGAACTATGGGCGAAATGAGCATTCAGGGTATTCCTGGGTTGTTGATTCAAAGCAAAAGCAGTATCGAAAAACACGGAGGCAGTGTCCTTGTTCAGCTGCAGCAATTCCTGGGTTTAGACATCATGATAACAGGTTGTGGGTTCTGTTCCTGGGTTGCTGATGGAAAAAGGACGCAATGAGCATGCAAGAGGCAGCGTTTTTGCTCAGCTACATCCCAATCTTTGAGACTGCTGTTACATGCAAACCAGGTCTTAGATGTTTTTATTACATTTGAAAAAGGTTAAAATGTTACTCTCAGGGAATCCAAAATTCTGTCTGGCTGCAACAGTGAAAAAAACTCTTAACTCTAGATGGTCTTAGCTATTATGTTTCTTGTTTCTCTTTCTTTCTGAAGTGTGTGTATATATATAGAATTGTTGCGGAGTTTTTTAATACATATCTCATTGTTGCAGAGAAAAGACAGTAAAATAGGCATTTGTACAAACACACATGACGTAATGCTGAAAGCATGCATGACCTAAGGTAGGGATGGGCACATGAGATTCGGGATTCTGGGTTAAATCTCCAGCTAATCTTTTACAGACCACCAGGTCTGGCTTCATCATAAAGGAGCGTGTGTTATTTGCCTTCCTGCCAGCAGTCCAATTCTCGTTCGCAAATGACTTACTCCGAGGATGAAGATAGACATAACATTTACAAAGCAGTGGGGCCCACTGGGAAGCGTCCTTGCCACATTCGATACAAACACACACGCCGCTTCTCAGGGTCCGGTTCCAAGATGAAACCCAAGCCAGCAGCAGTAGTTCGGCAAGGATGCCACGAACCCGGGCTCCAAAGCCCCCCGGTGCCAAAGCCATCACCTCCCAGTAATTCCTGGAGCATTTTTGCAACTCTTCTGAAATGCTTCCTTTGTTTAAAAAGAACTGCTACAACAGAGCAACGGGTGGATGCCTGGAGAAATATGTGGGATATGCATTGTATACGGAAAAGGCAGACAAGTTGTCTAAAGCGTGGAGGAAGGGCCTGACTGTTGGACAGCCCAGTACCTGATTTGATAAACTGTGTGTCTGTTGTGGAAACAGGTGGAGCTGGGAGAAGGCCAAGCCTATGAAGAGCCCGCAATAATATGTTTTAAAATTTGATAGCTATCTTTACCCTGATAAAGCTTCATGTTTAATGCAAACGTTCGGTTATTGCTTTACATGGTCATAATACGACCTTAAAAGCAGAAGTCTTTTATCTATTGGTCCTACTGGGATTGGTTCCGCACCTTCTTTGCACGCATCGGATTTGGTATCCTGATGGAAATGAGAACAGAAAGGTGTCTTTTTGAAATATAAGGGCCCGTGAAGACGGATGGGAGGAGAAAAGCTTGAAATGCAGAATTAAAGTCTTTAAAGTCACATTATGCTAATTGAACAGTGGCTGGTGAGTCAGGGAAGGCCTGAGGAAAGAAAGCGCTCTTCTGCGGACACAGTGCTGGCTCTGCTTGGCCTCCACTGGCAGGGAAGGGGGCCAGTGCAGCGAAGGCCCTGCTCTGTGTGTGCTTCAACTGTACCACCAGAAGTGGTGCACCTGTGTTGGGCCAGGCTAGGAAGGGGGAAGGTGCTTAGGGCTTTAGTAATACCAGGAATGGAGCATCTGACCTGGCTAGGAGCACACAACCAGCCAGTGACCTGCAAAACACACAGACACTGCTGAGTTGTTGGCTTGGGCACCTCCTGCAGCTTCCAGGCCAGGCGTGTGGGAGCCCCGTGTGGCGTGCATTGCAGCAAACCTCACGTGAACCCACAGCTACAATGATCTAGCACATACCCGGCATGCTGGGGCAAAAGGAGAGGCAGTGTGGTGTAGTGGTTAAGAGTGCAGGTCTGGGATTCAGGAGATCTGGGTTCAAGTCCCCGCACGGCCATGGAGCCAACTGGGTGACTTTGGGCCAGTTGCTGCCTCTCAGCCTGACCTACCCTGCAGGGTGGTTGTTGGGATAAGATGGAAAGGAGGAAGAGGATGATGTAAGCCATTTTGAGTTCCTGTAAAAAGGTGGGATATAAATGGAATAAATAACTAAGATGCAGGGCGTATCTCCTTCCCTTTGCAGAGGAAGCCGTTCCTGCCGTTTGCAAGACACGGACCGTCATCTATGAGATTCCGCGGAGTCAGATCGATCCAACGTCGGCCAACTTTCTGATATGGCCCCCCTGCGTGGAGGTGAAACGGTGCACCGGCTGCTGCAACACCAGCAGTGTGAAGTGCCAGCCGTCACGGATACACCACAGAAATGTCAAGGTGGGGAGAACCAACGCACTGGGAGGGAGGCGGGGTGGGGTGCCGGGCATCTCTGCACATGCCCCGCTCGCTGTGGACAGGTGCCCACTTTTTTTGCCCCTTGCAGCCGCGTGGGGACGTGTCCCTTTTGCTCAGTGGACAGGAGCAGAGTCCCATGTTGATTTTTTAATTCCTGTGCTAGAGGCAGCCCCTGGCGTGAGTGAAGCTGATCATGCCTCACATCCAGCCTCTGTGCTTCCGGATGTTTTGCCCTCCCTTTCCAGCTAGGGACAAGGCCTTGTTGCTGGTGGCCCCTTGACTGCCACACCGAGGCCTGACTGGGGCACCCCCTTCCCAGATCCCCACTGCCTTCAACATCGACCCTGCTGCCCCAGAGGCCTGAGACCACTTCCCCAGCTCTGCATGCCCTCCAGCTCTTCCCAGAAGCCTTCCTCCAACCTGCCCCTCTTCCCTGCCCTTTTCCCCAACACAAATTCTCTCCTGTTGCCCTTAGAGGCTCTGCCCACTAGCTCTCACTGCCCCTTGTGCTTGATGTTCCCTCTTGGCTCTCCTGTGATGGAAATTCTCCAAAAGGGTGGCAATTGATACGGCACTTCATACTCGGGACGCTCCACATGCATCTATCCCCTTGTGGTCCTTACAACTATTTTTCAGTAGATCAGTAGTTTTCCTCCTGAATTTTTTGTGGGTGGTGCGGGGGGAGAGTCCAAGACTGTGTATCTTTCTGTGTGTGTGTGTGTGTGGAGGGAGCTGTCCTAAGACCACCTACTGAGTGTGTGCTAGAGGCGAGATTTACTTGGGAAGTATCCCGCGTCATAATTGTTTATTGTAGAAAGGCACAGATGGCATCTGAGGGTCAGCATGACCCCCAATACGAACGCCTATCTATTCTCATGGACTTCTGCTATGTTTAGCCCTGCACTGCCGTGTTTCCCCCCTTGGCAACTCATAACCTTGCAGAGGTTGCAATCTACCCTTTTATTATAGAGGGGTGTGCAGAGGATGGCGTCGAGCAGGTTAAGGGCCTGCTTGCCTGCTTGTGGCAGAGACTCTACCAACGACGAGAATGAAGTACCAGGAGTCGCCTTGAACCCCGGTGTTTTTAATGGCAGGATCACCCAGGCCCTCTGCAGTTACTTACGACAGCGTGCGACCGGGTGGTGGTCTGCACCACTAACCACAAGCTTTTAGAACATATACAGAGTGTTTTATAGTTTCTGAGTCACATGGGCCCAGCAGTTGGATAGTTGATGATGAAATAAAGGGAACACAGTCAGAAGAAGGTGAGAGGTCTGCAGAGCGGGCGCAACACAATGGCCTTTGATTGCAGGGTAGTAACTTCATGATCCTGGGATTATTGTGAGTCTTGGCATGCAAATGAGGGTGGTGGTGATGCTGTTAACCTGGCAGCCCGACCAGTTCTTACTGATCAGCAGAACAGCAGCCCTGGCAGCTTCCTGGGGAAGCCACCAGGCCCCACTTCTAAAGCTAACAGCAAATGCCCAACAGTAACCCGGCTTGGAATTATTGGGTGCTTCCTGAGAAAGGGGTGCAGGCATTTTAGAACACAAAGGGACATAAGCAACCCTTTTCTGCCAGGATTTATCCGAATTTTCCCAAAGCTTGCTTGCTTTTCTCCCTCCCTCTGTCCATCTGTCTGTCTGTCCTTCAGTCCCTCCCTCCCTCCCTCCCTCCCTCCTTCCTTCCTTCCTTCCTTCCTTCCTTCCTTCCTTCCATTTCTACAGATTTTGTTTTATACCTTCCTGGGGTCACCTTTGACCCCCAACCTGTTTGAACCCAAACCATCATGAAGAAACAGACAGAGCTGCTTTGGCCTTTCCCACAAGCGCACACAGCCCTGCCCTTGATTTTAAAATGATAGAATGGCTCCGGGGACATTTTGGATGAAGAAACCCCTCCACAGCCATGTTTCCTTAATTAAATATTATGTAGGCTAAATCGAGCTTTTATTTGTGGAAACATGGTGCTTTTGATCTGGAGAAATGTGTTTCATATCGACTCTCCTCTTGGGATTTGCAAATGCATATGGCTTAATGCCACATTTACTCATTAGGCAAAATCCAATTTTTCTGCCTGCCACAATCTATCAAACAAATATTTCACAAAATGGATGGTATTTATTCATTGGGTTGGGTCTAGTCCCTCTGTTGGTTTTGTTTTATATTGGTGCAAATCAACACCACCTTTTCAGAGGTAAAAGTCAGACACATCCATGGGGAATTGTGTTCTCGGAGGTGTTTAAAGTTCTCTGGGCCTTGTTTGTACAATCAAAATCCATAGGTTGCTGTCTCAGGATGGTTACTGGAAGGTGGAGGCCCACAACCGAGGCAGATCTGGCCTTCTGAGAGCAGTTGCTTGAATTCCCCAATGCCTGGTTTCGAGGCCGAAGAATTTGGAGCAATGGGGAAGTTCTGAACTGGATGCTGGAAAACAGGAATGGCCAAATGGATCCATTTCAGTTCCTCTCTATCGCTTGATTTTTCAATCTTAAACTCAGTTTGCCCTGAACTTTGAGAATGTTTTTTGTAAAAGTCTGGGCAGACATTCCTGCACATTTTGTGTGCATTTCTTCTAATATGTATGTGTTTCTGTACAATTCTGCCTAGCATGCATCGTTTTGCAAGCAGATTTCCTGATAAGACTTTTTGAACATTATTTTCACTAAAATATGCCTTTCAGTGTGCACAGATTTTCATCCTTTCTTTTGAATTGATGAACTCTGGTACAGCATTTGGAGAAGACCGAATTTTGAGGGCTTCTGAGCATCCTTTTGTGTGTTGATATGAAACTGTGAAACTAGCAATGCAAATTCAACACATGTCACTAGCTGAAAAATTGAAACACATGTCCATAGTTGAAAAATTGGCCTGACAGTCTCCAGTTATTCCCCAAACTGGCGGTCGAGTTTTGGACTGTGCCCTAAAGCCATAACATCTGTGGGTGACCCTAGTTCTCATGAAGGTTGTGGAATAGGATGCATTTGGTGTCTTGTGCTTCACATGACAGGTGAGGGCTGAGAGCACGGACTCATCCTTCATAGGTAGGAATTCCCTGCACATAGAAAGTCAGCATGTCAGGGAGAAAGCGGGTTCATCTTGTTGTCTTTGTGGAACTGTGAGCTGCTTTATATCAAGGCAAACCCCCGGCCACGTCGTTTGTCAAAACGAGGCAGCCAACCTGCCACAGCCAACTCACCAAAGGAGCCCGCAAAAAGCGAGGAAAGAATCACAAGACTGTGTGGACAAGAGGCCAAATTAATGCATGGCTGTTTATCTCTGGCCCCCGCTCAGTTCTTTGAGCTTCCAGGCCCTGGCACCCAGACCAAGAAATATTCTGAGGCCGCTCCTTAAAGCTGAGGCAAAGAGCAACACAGCCCTCAATCAGCACGAAGCACCTGCTCCAGCGTGTTTTCTAAGCTGAAAACAAAGTGGGGGGAAAAACATGCCGTTTTGATATTCAGATGTTGCTGTTTTGCAAAGCCGCCTTCCATTCCTGATAGCATTTTCAAAGAAGCGGTTTCTTTCTTGTTTTTGCAGCCCTCCAGAAGCTTGGCAAAGAATCATTATAAAAGCAAAGGAGCAGTGGGACAATTTAATTAACCTGCAGGCTCAAGAACAAACCGAAAGGTTTAGCAAGCTCAGGCTGCAGATGCTGGTGGCCCTGTTGCTTCTCTCCCTCCTGCTCCTGTTGGCGACAGGCCAGATCCCCTGTAGGCAGTCCAAGCTCGCCGTAGGCGACTGGGTGTTTCTGGAGCCTTCTTGAGCCGCTCCCTTGTAGACTGTGGGCAATTGCTCAGGCTGTTGCCAAATCCTTGATGCATCTTCTAGCTTTCTGATCCACTGGGAGGAGGGAGGTCCTCCTCCTCCTCTTCCTCTTCCTCATCCTTGGGTCTTGCTCTTAAAGGAGTAGTAGGCTATTTTTCTGTGGCAGGGTGCATCATTCTACCTCTGTCGGTATCCGCAGGACCCCTAACCAAAGCTTATTTCTCTGGTCAGGCGCATTCCGTTCTTCTGTTGCTGCCAAGGACTGGTAGTTCCAGGACTGAGGAGCAGGCAGTCTGAGAGCTAGTGTTGCCTAGTGGTTAGATTGTTGCTCTAGGACTTTGGGATCAAGGTTCTAGTCCCCACAGAGTCCTAAAGCCCCACTGGGTGACTTTGGGCCTGTCCCTGACTCTCAGTCTAACCCCTGTGGGGCTCCTTTCTTACCTTTGCACTAGTCCTGTGGGAATTATGCTGCATCAGCCTAACCTTCCTCGCAAGGTTGTTGTGACGAGAAAAATGGAGTGGCAAAGGAAGGCCGCCAAAGTGGCCTCGGGTTCTTGCAAAAGGAAAGAAGGTGGGATAAGGGACGTGATTGCAAAATCCTGATAAATCAATCCATTCCTCGCATTTCTGGGAAGGGCAGAAACATGCCAGTCCCAAACCCTGAACAGGTGCTGCTGATATGTTGGCACTACTGGGCTAGAAAGACTAACCTGACCTCCCCTTCCTAAATATATTTATTATTTATCTATTTAAAATATTTATATGCCATCCTATTCGCAAAAAACCTCAGGATGGCTTACAGCATAAAATATAACATACATAAATTCCCGACCCACACTGGCTGCAGTTAAAAACATAGAAAAGACAATATCAAAACTTACTAATATCGCTGGAATAAAAAGGTCTTGGGCTGGTGCCGAAAAACAAACAATGACGGTGCCAGGCGGACCTCTCTGGAATGCCAGGCGCATTCCACAGATGGGGCGCCACCGCAGAGAAGGCCCTCCTCCGGGTACTTTAGTCCTAGAGTCCTCTTGCAAAGCACTTTATGCTGTTTCAGACCCCTGCCAGCACAGTGCTTAAAGAGGGGCCCATGGGGGACGTTCTCCCTGGTAGTTTTAGCTTTTCCTGATCTGGTGACACTGGTTTGGTGCGAACTGCACATCTGGCTGACCTCTGGGTGTCTCCTCTGAGGGAGGCTTGGGAGGCAGCATC